TACTATCAAAATCACTGCTCCACACTGCAGACGCCTTTCAAAACACCTGACAAAGTCACCGAGCAGCCATGTGGCAGCCAAGAAGTAGCAGGTGAACACAGGGAACTCCAGTTGTTCGCGAAATGCCTCCATCCAGCATTTCAACAGGTTTCTTCCCCTCCCGAGACAGGGCAAATACCAAACGAAATATTTTGAGTGAGATCCTTACAGGTCCAAATAAGCTAAATGCTTCCCCGAGGCCTCACTGTGCCAAATGAATGTTTGCCCTGCTGACATCCAGCTGTGCTGAGGCTTGTCCCCTTTGACACCAAGGGGAACGTTCTCACCCATCGTACAGGAGCTCCATCCATCCACTCTGCAGGGCAGTGGGAGCCTGCGAGGAGGGGACACGAGTAAAACATACTCCTGACCAGGGCTGGCAACAGCTGGTGAGCAAGAGGAGAGCGGAAGGAAAATGGCAGTAGAAAGGAAAACAGGCTCAAAAGAAGGGTCTTTAGCCTTCTCATCTGGGTGTCCACAGGAGGGAAGCAGATCTTCTGATCCTACTGAGGTTGCTCTGTCCTGCTGACCAGCAACTGCAGAGCATTGTCCCATAAAAACCAAAAAGAGAAAGCGGACACTACCTCTGAGCAGTCTGAAATGTCAAACACGCTGATGGTAGGTAGCTGAGAGAAACTCCTGCACATCATTTTCTGCTGTGAGGCTTTGCTAAGTCTTTCAGTATTTCAGGAGATGAAGACCTGTGACTGTGAGCAGACTGAAAAAATAGGAAGACCGTGGTACTTGAAGCACAAGAAACAACATAGTAATTGCAGCAAATATAATAGAAGAACACACTGCTGCAAGCACCCCTGGGGGCATCAGCAACCGTGGCATAAGCCTACATGGGACCAGTTCCTGGGCTTCGCTGGGGCAGCTCATGTAAAGGCCCCCGTAAATGTTCACGCAGCGGGGACCTGGTGCATGAGGTGGAACAAATTAAGCTGAATGGCACTTGAGCTGGCTGAGCTTCCCTCGCCTTTTGAAGTTTCCAAGCGTATTTCCAGCCCTTCAGGTAGCTAGGAGAAGGGGAGCTCACAGGGCCTTCCTGCTAGGCCCTTGAAATAACAAACTCTAGTGGGTACTGCAGGCTGGCGCCCCGCCAGCAGACAGGCACAGGCCAACATGGAGAAAAGGTTTTTAATACACTCGCAAAGAATAACTGCTGGTGGACAAAAGAGCGCTTGTATTTTTATTCTTTCCTTTTCCTGCTTCCAGGAAACTTTAAATAGATTGATTAGGGGCATGTATGGGATCTCTCTCTAATGAGCTAGTAGAGCCATTTAATGGCGAGGTGATGCCAGCTTCGGATTCTTTCTTTATTCTTGTGTCTCACTGAATATCAGAGGAGCCATGGTCTCGATTCTGGGACAAGAATTGAGAGGAATACAGTTTTCCACTTCCTCATCTAGAGGGTGCTGGGTGGGATCACCCCTCGGTGAAGCAGAAGACGCAGAGCCAATCTGTCTATGTAAGGCCACCCACCCCTCTCAGGAGGCAAACCAGCAAGGTTGGCTGCTGGCTAAAGCGTAAATATTCCCAGCCAAGCATTAGCTATAGGATTTGCTTCAGTAATTACCTCTACTTTAGTCTTATGACCCAACATGAGGCAAAACGACTCTTGGCCAAATTACAAGTTGCTGAGAGGTCTAGGGCATTCGGGCATGTGTCCTCTACCTGTAGGAGTGTGTTACAAGCAGGTGGGTGGGTTTTGTTCTCTGTCTTTTATATATTTTCTAGAGAACTCATAGGACTGTAGCTATCAATTGATGCAGGAGTAGGAACAGGTTTCTTATTCTTTAATAGTAAGCTAAGATGTCCCTGCTACTGGGACCAGCAGAGAGTGCTATGCATGCTGGAGATAGCACATGATTGAAGGGGATGTTCCCTCTTTTCTAACCCTAGGGGCAAAATCCTCTCTCCTTTTATACACAGGCAAAATTCAGACCCTCCATTCATATACCTTGGCCTCTGACAATTAGGGAACCTAAATATTTGGCTCATGGTAACAATTTCATGTCTTCTAACAAGAGGAACAGCGTTCCCCTAGGTCCCACTCTCTTTGAGCCGTGCTGCTATGACAGTAATGCGATTGTCACTGCCATGGTATGCTTAACCTTTGCCAAACCAGAGCTGAGGCATTAACTCAGATCCTCAACTCATGTGTCTTAAAGGGCAACGTAACCTGTGCTGCATCCGTGCTGCCGGAGCGACGCGGTTTGCAGCTCAGTAGTAATAAGCACGTAAATGTGACAAGCATAAGCTATAACAATGATTTATGCAAACAGAAAAATAACAAAGAGAAGCTGAAAAGTAGCAATGCAGTGGAATTCCTAGGACCGTTGTCTCCATGGCACCAGCAGCCCAATATCCTGACACCAGAAGAAAGGATCTCTGTGCCATGCAATGAAATTCCAGCAAACGGGACAAGGACTGATGGTGTCTGGAAGTGGTAGTGCCACTGCTACCCGGATAATAGTCTGAATTAGATTATGTGAAAAAAGAAGGAATATATAGACGGCCAGCTGCTCAAAGGCTTACTACAACCTTGCTTTTATTGTTCTGCTAAGTTAGAGGTGGGGCATCAGAGGGATTCCTAACATACCACTACTGAGAAATTTTAATATGTTCCACACTGACACATATAAAAAGGAAATAACAGCTGATCATAGTCAGTGGAGACTGCAGCATCTCTTCATATACATGCACGGAACCATAGGCAAAGTGGGGTGCTCTTGGCCAAGGAGGCTTAGGCACCCACACTAACCTGCACCAGCTGAACTTTTCTCCTGCCATTGAGCTGAATTTCAGCAAAAGGGTTGTTGAGCAGAAAATAAGGTGATCTGGGCATGGCTATTCACCCCATCCCGAGATACCAGGACGTGGAGAAGGACAGGGGAGCTGAGAGGCTGCACGTTTAACACTGATGAAAAGAAACACATGTTTACACAACCGACAATGATCCGGTGGAACAAGATATCACAGAGGGCAAAAGTTTAGCTGGGCTCAGCAAAAGGACTTGTTATGTATGGGAGGGTTACAGTTGTAAGGGTTTTATTTTTAAAGAGTTTTTTGGAAGGGTTATAAACTCTCAGGACTCAGAGTTCAGTTGATGGGGTTAGGGAAAAATCCTTCACCACGGCAAGTTACCCCGTAGCTGCCTACTATGGGGGCTCTATGTCAGTCTTTGATGTGGCCGCTTCCAGCCATGCTCAAGAGGTGGATTACTCAAATAACATGGGACAGTGGCACGGTCTTATGTAGCAAAACTGTTCTAAAACTCTTAGAGACAAGTGTCTCCTCATACTGAGCATGGTATTAGAGGCACAGGAATTAGCAGTATTTGTACTATAACTAATATTTATAACTGTAATTACAATGGTAGTATTGGGGGGAAAAAAAAAAAAGGAGTTTTTTTCTTCTACTATCAGTAAAAGGAATAATTTGCCAGACCTGTTGCAAAAACAAATGTTTATGCAAGCTTTGCACTGCAGAAAATCAACTCCTTTCAAGGTACAAGAACAACCTCGAGCACTTCCTAGTGCATCTGAGAGTGGATAAGCCAGGAAGAGGATACAGTCGGCCCCAGGGAAAACAGGGAATGAAGCAGACTCCAGAAGAACTCCCTGTCAAATGAGTCACCATAGGCATCCGTGCCATCCCCCAAGGAGGTATCTTGCTTCCCTCCCACCTGAGTAAAAGAGATTGCAACCCTGGCAGTTCAAGTAAGGAAGAACATACAGTGCTTTCACAAACCTCGATGGCAGGTGAGGGATTGTTCCAGTGGGGCAGATGGCTTTTGAAGGTAGCAACCTGGGGTATCACTACTGCAAACTGTGCACAAGACTCTAACTGAGTATCCTGCTCTGCAAGGGGGAATCATCAGCGTACATGCATCTGATCAAAACCAGGTGTTGCACAAACCCAGGAAACCTACATGGGACACCTTCAGGTGGAGACCTGAGCTTGTAACAAGAGTAATCAGCAGCAGCCCCTAATTATATCCCTTCACTAAATCAAATTGTATTTTATTTTGTAAGCTTGAAACATCTATTCCTTCCACATTTGCTTTTAACTGGAAAATCTTAAAGCATCTTCTTATAACGCCAGTATGGCAAATAAGATTTAATTCTTCTAGCAAGAGCATGACAATGTATATGTAAGTCACATCGGGAACCCCTGATTCAAGCTGGTAAGTAATTACTTACCAAATAGTTCTATTTAGGTCGAGGGAATTATTCATGTGCATAACTGCTCACAGACATGAGTAAGGTCCCACAGCCCAAGCAAAAGTGAGCATCATCAGTAATTTACATGAAAAAAAAAAAAAGTCCTAAAATGTAGCTGTTCTTTCAAGAAGACACAAAAAACCAGCACTGTGATTATTACGTCTGCATTTATTGACCCCACCAGGCAGCTGGGTTTCCTCTCCTAGAAAATAACTTTGCAGTAAGGAACTGAAGTAAATTTGCCTCCACTGCTTGATTTAAAGAATAATTTGCCTGGCCTTTTCCAGTATGCAGAGTTCTCACCTCTCAGCCACAGTTACCAAGGTTTAGGAACTGTTAGTAATATTTAGCATATAGGAAACATTTTTTCATCTTTAAAGAGCCGCAGAAACCTTAACAAGTTACTTGTCATGCCATCTATCCCAGGCAGAAACAACTAAGATGTGTTATGGGCAGGCTAGGGCAGAAATTTAAATGAACTTGAGAGGCAGGATAAGAAATCTCCTGTCAGTCCCACAAGAGTTAGTCCACACACACCGTCTTGCAAATTCAGGTTTGCCACAAGAAAATTACCCCCCCCCAGCCCCGCAACACACACTCTGTGTGAGCCTGCTTTACTGACACTACAGCAGTAGTACTGAGATTGCTCTTCACATGGGTCATATTTTTTACTCTTATTTTTTGCTACTGGACCCATTAATTTGAACTTTTTTATAGGATGCATTCACTCACCTGATTCCTAGCAGGGAGACGGGGCTTTTTTTCCTCAGCCAGGCTCTCTCGGGGCAGCGTCCGTTCCGGCGCCTCGCAGTTACACTACACTGACACTTCACCACCGGGCTCCTACAGCAAAACTCTTCTTTTGTCCCAAAGACACAGGGAACATGTTATGCTGGTGCCTCTGAGGCTGATACACAGCGGAATGATCTGCCAGGAAATGAGGAGAGCCTCCCTCTCTCCTTCAGCAGGCGGTCTGGGGTCCTGCAGCATCCTCCCTCCCGTGTCAGCTACCGGCTGCACAGCCCCGCTGCGTTACGTGTCGCGCTGACGGGGTGGGCTACCTACTAAATATACTCCTCAGCCTCACAGCAAAGGCAAACAACACGGCTTTCCTCATAGGTTTCAGCCAATAAAGAGTGTATATTCAATCTGCCCCCCTTCCATAACTGGTGCTGTCCGGTCCATAGTAAAGCTTCCCAGAAGTTCGAGTAAGTAATAACGTGCAAATTAAGAGTGCTCCTGCTGAAGCATGACACACAAAGCTAGAAATAAATATTGCCTGTTGTTTCAAATTATTCTAAGCACTCCAGCAGATGACTGGCAAGAGAACAGCGTGCATAAGCAGTGATAAAAGTAAACAGTCCAGCGTTAAACTAGCAGGCTTGCCTGTGTTCACAGAACCCTATTGTAATGGGACAAAGAGGGTGCTGGCAATACCGGCGCTCCCTCCATGAATTCAGGGCAGAGTCCAGCACGTCCATTCACTCCAAAGCCACACAGCTGGGACCAGGACAGAGCTGCAGACATGAGCCCAGCATGCTCACAAGAATAGATGTTTAACCAAGTTGCTCAGAGGCATCTGAGCATTTGACTATTTGACTACATACAGGCATCCTTCAGACAGGAGATACAGTTAAAAATACAAGGATAAGGAGACACAGGTACTAGAGCTATGTCAATTCCATGTCAACACATTTTAATTCAAAAATGTTACATGTGTTTGTCAGATAAAGAGATTAAGCGCTCAGTTTAAGCCCATGTAATACTCAAAATCTGTAGGAATCTCATATTTGTGTGCTTACCTTTAAAAATGCACTGCTCCTTCCTCCCCTCAAACTCTTTGGAGAGCTAAAAGAGGTCCTGTTACTTCCAAATGCTTTTGTTCTTCTGTCCCTCTGTCACATGGCTTGCCTTTTATATTTGCAACACACAAAAGTTAGGGCTGTTGTTTAAGAGAGAGAGGGAGAGGGAGAGAGAGAGAGAGAGGGAATGTCAAATGGAAAAGTGCCATTGCAGTCATATATCAATCAGGGCAGCGGCGGCAGCAGCTCGCTGGCAAATGGGAATTCCACAGAAATGTGAAGCTCTTGTTATCTGAGAAATCACAAAACGCCACCAGCCAAGCTCCCCTCTGCAGGGACTTCTTATTATTGGCAAGCCAGGAAATAGAAGGAAATGTAGCTGCTTTTTTTGTTGTTGTTATTGTTTCGGATCTGGAGATAGGGACGCTGTGGCATATGTAAGACAGTGGAATAGAAACCCTGAATCAAATTCCTTCCTAAGCAAATGCACTGTGTGCAAGATAAAGCAAACTGCTGAGAAGCAAGGTAAGAGAGCTAAGTGAAGAATCTGAAAGTCATGATTTAAAACATTTGATATCTGTTTGTACTTAGAAAATACCCATAGAAAAACTACCTTTTCCCTGGATTACTCATTAATCTCCTTTTTTTCTGACAGGTTTTTCTTAGATCTTTTTAAACTGTGATTGATCTCAGATACCCTTGATTCAAGCTGTGCTGCTTCACTACAATTGGTCACCTAAATCATCTGACATTCCCTGACTCTCCAGTTGGGTAAGCAGAGAAGCATTTTCTGTATAAATACTTGTCTGCCAATCTGCAATTCCAATGCTTCAGATAACCTGCCCTGAAATTCTGAAGTTTCTCTCAAATAGGCTCAGAAGTTTGCTCACAGAAGCAAAGCTATTTTATTTCAAGCAAACATTATCTTCCTGCTTTACCCACCTTCCTCTGCAGAATGCCAAGTTTGAAAACGGTTATCCTTCTAACCTTTCATATAAATACACATCTTTTATGCAAAGACTAATTCCCTGAGAGGCTGAAGGCAGACTCCATCCACTGGAAAACCCCACTTGCAACAAGCACCTCGCAGCTCTGGAGGCACCAAACTTCTCTTCTCTGCTTCCGCCGAGGAGGGTTTCTCACTTCCCTTTGGAGTGCCCCCTAGTCGTCCTGCAGCACTACGGGAAGCGCAGACCTTAGCCAGTTAATTAAAAAATAGGCAACATAGCTGGCCATTCACAAGCTGGATCTGTTCAGAGGCACTGGCCAGCAGATGGACGGGGTCCTGTGTCGATTGTGTTTGAACTCTAAAGGAAAGTTGGTATTTGATGGATGATGTTATTAGCTAAATGTCTTATGTGGTATAAGATCAAAGAACAGATGGAAATTATGCCTTAAAAATAGAATAATCTAAAAGAGGAATGGCTTGTAGATGAGTAAGCATCATGGAAACAATAAAGGAGACATTCTTTGGCTTGCTTTGCTGTAGAGCCAGGTTTGGCTGGTGGGATAAACAAATGATCCACTTAGGACCGGGTTCCTCAGGATGCGAGTTTTGCTGCACATTTTTTCCCTCATATTCAGTGTTTACATTATTTTGCCTCTTAAGTCAGTACTGGGTTTCTCTCATCAGCCATACATGTACCACCTCTCTGCCTCCCTTGCAGACACCTCTGGAGTTCCCCAGGGTGGATGACGCCAGAGTTCACCAGCATCTTTACCTCACTGTAATGGTGGGCTGAAATGTCACCAGTGCTCTAGTACTACACTTAAACAGATGACTGCACATAGCAATGTTTTTTAATTTAGCCAACATCCTCTTTTAAAATTAAGGCTTTTGGCAAATAAGTCATTATGCTGCCAGGTTGTTGCTCTTTTTTCATGGGCAAGAAAGTGTCTCACATACTCCAGTTGCTTGCACTAAGGACCAGCCATGTGCAAGACAAAGGCCTCCTGGATCACATCCTCCAGGAGACAGTATATATGCCGCTCATGGTCCTTACTGAAAATGATTCTTCAGTTTTTTTACTGGTGCATCTTAGTTTTCTTATCTTTGCTTCATCTATAGGTGACAATATCTGTATTAATTGTTCATTGGGTGCTAAGCATACTTTAAATACCCAGCAATTATCAATATTACCTCAAACAGTGGTATTTTTGAGTAGTGCTCAGCTACCACCACTACTAATTCCTAATACAGAAAAACCTGCAGATATTGGACTAATCATTTTTCAAAAAATGAAAGTGGCTTTCAATTTTTGATCTTCCACTTCAAGGCTATGATGGCAGTAAGTGTGAGTTAATCAGCAGTTAACTGAACTCACAGGCTGGTGACATAAAGAGATGCTCTCATTTGTGGCCTTTTGAGTGAAGTTACACATGATCACAAGCACAAAAGTAGAAGCATCAAATGAAGCCTGCCCCCACCTCAAGAACACTATGGCCCATAACTTTTTCATAGCTGTTCATAAATCCTCAGCCTCTCTCAACCACACTGTCACTTAATCTCACCCATAAAACCAGTCATTTTAAAGAAACAAATAAAAATGGAGAGCACAGGAGCTCAGAGCTCAGTTTTCAAAGATTATTAGACATCTGAGATGACCCCAGATATTAGCTAATATTTCCAGAAGATCTCAGGTATCCTGCTCCCATCAGATCTGATCTGAGTTCCCTTCAGAGGGAGTTTATCTATCTATCTCACTTAACAGTAGTTGCCTGAAAACTAAGTTTAGGCTCTCCCAGCAGCAAACATAATGGTTCCATCCCAATTGACTTTCAGTTCAGACCAGCTTCAGGTCAGCATCAATAACAGTTTTTCTCTCTGGGAATAACCAAAGGTATTCTGCTGACTTAGTTGGACTAAATATCTATTTTTTTAAATAGATAAAACCAGGTGAGATAAATCCCTCCCTCAAGGACTCAGTCTGTAATTTTGAAGAGATGGAGATACACCTCTGCATGGAATTCTACCAACCTCCCTGGTTCCATCTCAGTGAAATGCATTGCAGACCTGCAACCCTAATTCACAGGTTTCCACCACTCTATGACCTACAAGACTCATGTTTGACCTCAGAAAAACACTGTACTACCATTACCCGCAACTCAGTGGGACTGAATTTTTTGCCCTCTTGGCATCATCAAACACCATGTTGCTTCTTCACAGGATCAGGATTTCACCTCTCCATCATGCACATGTTGTGAAACACATCCAGAATTCTGCAGCAAAATCAGACTTTTGTTTTCATCTGAAGGATTTTGTAGTCTTCCCCAAGCATTCTGAGATGGTGGGTAACAGCCCTCCGTATCATCAAATGTACTGCCACAACAGGCACTACTTGGTGTCTGTGCTGGTTGTGTCTGTGAAGACCATGACTGGAGTACACATGCAAGGACACTTTTTAAGTGTAGATCTATACTCACACGCAGACATGAACATGAGCACTATTGCTGCAAGCAGTTAGAGGGAGTAGTATGTATAAGAATGCAGTCAAGGAGGGATGATACTTTGTTCCATTGTTGAACTGATAAAGGGTGATATATCTGGGGCTTGGCTATCAGTATTCTCTTTGTAGTTGGGGATGTAGGAGGAACTGAAAGTATTGTAATGATAGTATACAGTAATGAGCAACATAATACTTATATAACAAATATATACTTTGTGCAGACAGGAGGTACCTAGAATTCTCAGAGGAAGTATTTTCTATCATTTTAATAATAAAAATAAGTATTAGGTAAATTATATTTCCAACAAATAGAATTACACACCCACATACATCAATGTAAGACCAGGTGGCACAAAAGTCTGTTTAGGCACTGATCTCTTCTGTCACCCTGTTGTGCATTACTTCAGATTCATTTTGCAAGGATATTTAAATACCTAAACACATAACCTAAATGAGCCTCTTATTTCAATGTATCTGTGAATGTGTGTTGTTATGACACAGTATAGGGAAATGGTGATTCAGTGTCTTAAACGCATGCCATTATTACAGCAAGGTTCCCTTCATCAAAGGAACAAGGCTGCTATGGAGAAGACTGTGAAAAACGAATCTGAAGTTTTTGCTTATTCATTCTACCACAGAAGTCAGAAGGACATTTTGCCTGTAGACTATACTCAGACTTCAGATTGACCTGAAAATGTGGTTGCAGCAGGACCAGAAGTTGGTGTCCCCCTAGTTCCTTCAGCAAGAAGCAGGAGCTGGTCAGGTGGGCCTCCCCTGCAGCATAATGCCTACAAGGCGCGAATTATGTTGGAGTACTGGTGCTTAAAAAAGACGAGCTCAAGAGTCTGAGAAAGAAAACAATATACCAAGGAGAGATCTTGGATGAACAGTGGCTTGAACAGGTCTGTGGGACAGAGGTGGGCAGCAGTCAGGCAGGCAAATGTCAGCATGAGTGATCCACCTGCATGAAGTCACTGCTCTGCCCTCCTAACAAAGGTTGCTGCCTGCCATTAGTCAAACTTGGGCTCCCCTGTGCTCACAGAATCACAGAATGTTCTAGGTTGG